TCTGCAGCTGTGTGCAGAGACATTCTGCAACCCATACAGTAAGCTTAAACCAAATCCGTCCACAAACGGAACAGTCTGTATGCAGAGGGTGTAGATTCTCCAACTCTGGCGGTAATTAAAAAGAGCTTGGACAGCTACTTTTCAATGATATTTTGTTTGCCTTTCCTGCCAATGGCTGGACTGGATGATCTTTGGGATCACTTCCAACTCCATCATTCTATAGATTTGAATTGAATGTCAGCGGAGAGTTGGACCAGATGATCCTTATGGTCCCTTTGAATTCCAGAGTGTATACGATTCTGTGAAATGTTAAACAGCTGTTTCCTAGCTATAAGGGTTAAGACAGCTTTTACCAATAAGCCATGATTATGGACTGATTTGCAATGGATGGCTGTGAAGGTTGGACCATAAGAAAGGCTGAACACCAAAGAATGGAGGCCTTTGAACTCTGGTGCTGGAGAAGACTCCTATGATGCAAGGCCATCCAACAGTCAGTCCTAGAGGAGATCAACCCTGACTGCTCTTTAGAAGGCCAGAAACTGAAGAGGAAATTCAAATACTTTGGGCACCTAATGAGAAGGAAGGACTCCCTGGAGAATAATTGAGGGCAAAAGGAGAAGGGGACAACAGAGAATGAGGTGGCTGGATGGAGTCACTGAAGCAGTCGGCGTGAGCTTAAATGGACTCCAGAGGATGGTAGAGGACAGGAAGGCCTGGAAGAACATTGTCCATAGGGTAGCGATGGGTCAGACACAACTTTGCAACTAAGAACATGAACTGATATTGTCTGTTATGGCACACTGAGAATTATGAAACACAAGTGCCCCATAACTGTTTACATCAGTGGTTCTCTATACCTGTTTCCCGCAGTCTCCTGGGGGCCACTCCTCACAAGGGTTCCGCGAAGGCTCGAAGAAATGTTATGATTTAAATCTTCAAGTCTTGGGGCAACAAAAGGTATTTAAAGGAGGCCCATGATGAAGAAAAGGGGGAGAACTTCTTTATTATGGGTAGATTCATTTCCTCTGCTGGCTCCCTTTGGGTGGCAGCACAACCCAAGACAACATGGGAGCATCATTGGTTCGCTTGGGTTCAAACTTACCCCGTCATGGACGAGAGCTTTCCACGTATGCTCCAGTTTCTTGATTAACCTGGAACAAAACAGACAAGCAAAGGATTGAGAGAGGAAATGGGAGAACCAAATAAAAGCAGAGCCACAGCAGCCATTCTCTTCTCTGGGTGCACTCAGAGTGTGGTCAAAAAAGGCAAAGGCGACAGCCATAATGACGCCATCAAAGTTCCACTCACTTGTGGACTGCACTTTTAACTGGACTTCCCACCTCTCTGCTCTCCACCAAGAAAGTCAGAGAATAAAGGATGTAGTTGAGCAGGATTAGGGGAAGATCCATATACAGGTGGTCCTCGACTTACAGCAGTTCTTTTATTTCAAAGTTACGACGTCGCTGGAAAAAAGTAACCTGTGGCCGTTTTTTCACACACTTAAGACCATTGCAGCATCATGTGATTTACATTCAGATGCTGGACAACTGACTCATATTTATGTCGGTTGCAATGTCCCCGAGGTCACATGATCCTCCCCCCTTTTGAAACCTTCTGACAAGCAAAGTCAATGGGGAAGCCAGATTCACTTAACAACCGTGTTGCTACCTTAACAAATGTGTCAAGAAAAGTCGTAAAATGGGTCAAAACCCACTTAACAAATTTCTCACCTAGCAAAATATTATTTGGGGGCTCAATTGTGGTCGTAAGTCAAGGACTATCTGTATTTTGACAACCATATGGAAAAGGCTCTGATGTTGGGAAAGACGGAAGCCAAAAGAAGGGGACGGCAGAGGATGAGATGGTTAAGAGATTGTCATCAACGCAATGAGCAATGAGACTCAAACAATGGAGGACAGAGGGACCTGGAGTGTTATGATCCATGGTGTCATGAAGAGTCAAACACAACTTGGTGAGTGGACAAAATCAACAACAACAACAACAACCGTGGATTACCATGTGAGGAAATAGAGAAAGAAATACAGAGGTTAGTCAAACTTTCTATATTTCAAGTGGAATCCAGCTCTTATTGGTAGTCCGTGACTTACAACCAGTTCTGGAGTACCAATGGTTCCACATCCCCTGAAGTCACATGATCGCATTTCAACTTGGCAACTGGCTCAACTTAATCGCTGGTTGAAGTGTTCCACAGTCATGTAACTATGATTTATGACCTTTTTCTGATGGCTTAACGCCTTTTCAGCAAACCTTTGGCAAAAAGCACCCATAGAAATACATTGATTCAATTAACAACTATGGTGCTCCCTTAACAACCACTGTGTTCATTTAAGGACTGCCGCAAAAAAGTCATAAAATTAGACACAGTCATGTGGGTGATTTAATTTACAACTATCATGAGTTATGATGGAAATTCCGGGCTCTATTATAGCAATTGCATTTATATACAGCTTTGCGGTGCTTTACAGCCCTCTCTAAGCAGTTTACAGAGTCAGCCTCATGCCCCCAACAATCTGGGTCCCCATTTTATTGACCTCGGAAGGATGGAAGGCTGAGTGAACCATGACCCTGGTGAGATTCGAACTGCCAAATTGAAGGCAAACGCCCGTCAGCAGAAGTAGCCTGCAGCACTGCACTCTAACCACTGCGCCACCTCAGCTCACTATGAATATAAGTCAAGGATTATTAACTGGTACTAGATGACTAATGGCCTGCAGTTTTGCAAACATGACTAATGAAACGCCACGGAAAGAACATTCCCTTCCAGACCGGTGACTTTGCATCAAAGGCTAATCATAGAAGAGCTAAGAGGATGTTGGAAAGAAGGCCCAGTGATCAAAACCCACAAAGACTCCTTTTGATGGATGATGGCATTAAGGAAAACGATGCAACGTTCCAGAGATCAGAAGAAAACAATTTGTCCCTGAGCCTTTCCCTTCCAAAATTGTAATAATGTCTAGATTTGGATCAATTGGAAATTGCTCGATGGAATGCAACACGCTATTCTATCGCAGTGATAGCTAACCCTTTCCCATTGTGTCCCAAAAGCAGGAGTAACGCAGGGGGCTGTGTACAGGCGTGCCCACACCCATAATTCTATGTGCGCGACCCCTGCCCTCCCCCTGCTTTCGGCACGCAATGGACCTGTTTTTCGCCCTCCCCAGGCTCCAGAGGCTTTCTAGGAGCCTGGGGAGGGTGAAAATGGCCTCCCCTACCCCTGCCAGAGGCCCTCCAGAGGGCGAAAAATGGCCCTACAGGCAACCCAGAAGTCCATTCCCAAACTTCCGGTTTGCGTGTTGGGTTATTTTTTGACTTCCGGAAACTTCAAGCATGCGCGCTGGAGCTGACAGGGCAACGCCTCGTGTATCCTAACAAATGGCTCCACGTGCCACCTGTGGCACACGTGGCATAGGTTCGCCATCACGGTTCTATTGTGTCAAAGGAAAGAAAAAGCACTAGTTCATCCAACATGATCTCCTACAAGGTACCTGATAGAAAAGAATAAAGAGATTCAAAAGATTAAAAAAAAAAACCCTCATTTTTTCCCCACTTAGTACAGATAGTCCTTGACTTACGACCAGAGTTGAGCTCAACATTTCTGTTGCTAAGCGAGACAGCTATTAAGAGAGACAGCACTTACCTGGCATCCAAAACGGGCCGCGTGGAAACTCCTGGGAGGGGAGGGGGTGGTGGGGCCAGCCAGTCCTTGCAACTACCGGTTCGACGAACCAGATATAAAATTAGCATCCAGTTCATCCCAACTGGTCCGAACTGGCTGAATCCCACTCCTGATTAAAACTCACTGTGGAAAGCCTGTGTGAATCAAATGTCAGCTAGGAAAGCTGCAAAAGGTGATCACATGAGCCCAGGACCATCCCACCATCATAGAGGCATGCCAGTTACAGAGGGCCCAAATTTCGATCATGTGACCATGAGGACGCTGCACCGCTTGTAAGTGCAAGGACGGGATATCATTTTTTTTCAGTGCTAGTCAAACTTTGAACTGTCACTAAACGAATCATTATAAGATAAGAACCACCTCTAATATTCTTGTTGTTAAAATATGTATTTCAATTGTTTATATAAAATAAATGGCCAGAAACTCAGAAAGTTACATCTCATCTCATGAGACTTGTTAAGGTCAGCAAGATGGACGGCATATAAATTGAATGAATGAATGAATGAATGAATGAATGAATGAATGAATGAATGAATGACCAAACGAAAGAAAGAAATGTTCTGAGCTCTCAAAAAGGAATAGGGACAGCGCCTACCTGTAGGACTGGAGGATATCGATGATCCCAACATGCAGCAGCAGACGCTCTCCTTTGCCATTCACTGCTGGAATACCCCCCATTCTGAAAGCACAAAGGAGAAAAAATTAGTATCTACTTGCTTAGTTAAAGTAACAACCACTTTGATCTAGTGGTCAAGATTAGAAAGTGAGAGACATGAGTTCTAGTCCTTCCTTAGCCATGAAAACAAGCTGGGTGACTTTGGGCCAATCGCCAGGAGACTGTGAGTTCTAGTCCTGCCTAAGGCATGAAAGTCAACTGGGTGACTTTGGGCCAATCACTAGGAGATGGTGAGTTCTAGTCCTGCCTAAGGCATGACTAGACCTTGGGCCAGTCATTGTGGGCAGGTCACTCTCAGCTCAATTCACCTCACAGAGTTGCTGTTGTGAGGAAAATGTATGTTGAAGGAGGAAGGTGTGTTGGCAATGTTTGCCACCTTGAGCTATTTATAAACTAGTAAAGGCTGGATACAAATTAATAAACAAATAAGGCAGTGGGGGCAATGCCCAGTTTCCACTCCTCTAAACACAGTGGGTTTCCAAAGCATGCTTAAAATGATCTCCCAGCTGTGTGAATTGCCTCAAGATGCACATAGACTCTTACTTTCTTCTCCTCCTCCCTCTCTCACGCACGATCAAGCGTCATTAAATCCAAGGGAGTAATTATTACAAAAATCTACCCGGACCGGTCTATCCTTGGAATAATGCAAGGTCACGCTGTTGATCTGCATGTGTGACACGCAGAGACATTTTGTAATTGTGTGTATCAACCAATAAGTGTAGGAGAGCCTTTATACAATCGGTTCAGGATCATTTTCTTTGCTTTAAAAAAACAACAACCCATTGAATGTACTAAGGAATTGCTGCAATGATTGAAACTACGCACGAACAGTTCCGCTAGGACAGACTGTATTCTGTTTTGTAATTGTTGGTTTTCAACTTTGCACACTGCCCAGAGTCACTGTTGTGAGAGGGGCGCCACATCTAGGTAATTCTTGACTTACAGTCACAATTGGGACTTGAATGTCTGCCACTTAGCAAGGCGATTGTTAACTGAGTCGTCACGTGACTGTGCCCGATTTTTGCCGCAGTTGCTAAGCGAACGTGACTTCGTTCATTCACTTTCCTCATCAGAAGCCAGATGGGAGGGTCACAAATGGGAGATCCCTTGTCCCCAAGATGCAGCGACCACTATAAATGGCAGCCTTCTCTGTCATTGCCCTCACCCAGTGGAATATTCTCTCCCCCCGCCCCATGAGGTAGCTCCCCCCCTTCCTGGTTTTCCAAAAAGGAGTCAAAGCATAGTTATGTGCCTTTGCCTTTCCCCCTTTACACCATATTCCCACCCCACCCCCCATTTCTAATTTTCCGTTCCTTTTTTAAATCTCTTATTTGTATTTTATATTTTGATAAATCAATAAAAGTTACTAATAGCAAAAAAAAGCCAAACCCATGCCTACGTAGCCTCTTGTGGAGAGCCTAGAGGAACGTTCAGCCCTGGGTCTGTCTGATGCCCTGAAAGCCTTGCTTGCTACTCTCAATTAATTTTAACAGTGTTACATCATCCTTGCCTCTTTTACCTTTTTAACTTTTATATACTGTTTTTATATTTGAATATTTTATTATATACAGGTAGTCCTCGTGTCAACTCTGAAGCCATTTTGGAACATCTTTCCCCCCCCTGTATATAAAGTTTTTTATTTTTTCATTTTCATAACATATAATCACATGTATACTATTACATAGCCAACACTGTATTGTATTATTAAATGTTTACATCAATTCATCTTACCATCAACTCCCAAAAACAATTATTGGCTCTTCTGCTCTCCATACACCATATTTGTACCTTATCCATCACTTTCTTCTCCCTCTCTCCTCCCCCTCCCTACCTCCTTTCTTCCCTCTGTCATCCTTCCCTTCTCTACTTCCCCTTCCTCTCTCCTTCTCCTCTCTCCCCTTTCCACTCATTTCTCTCCTCCTCTCCCCCCCCCACCAGCCCTCTCTCCTCTCCCTCTCTTCTTCCCTTACCTCTCTGCCACTTTGGAGCCTCTTCAGGGCTGCTATAGCTATGCTGGTTGCAACTGTGGGGAAGCGTGGGTGGGTGGAATAGAGATAGCTGGGGACTTGTAGCCAAAATAAAATTCTTTCTCCTGGGAACCAAGGACATTCACACCAGGTGCACGTATGTGGTCATACGTTGAGCACTACTGTACCACCCAGAGCCCCCGCATGAGGGAGATGGACAGTTCATAAATATGAAAAATAAAATAAAATAAATACATGCCTGTTGTGCCAAGCATCCAAGTCAAATGATTTGTTTAACGAGGGGGTGATTTACTTAACTGCAGCAAAAGAGGCGTAACATTGGGCACAACTCACTTAATGACCACATTCCTTAGAATTTGAAATTCATGTGGTCATATGTCAAGGACTGCCTATGGTGTTACAGCTCCTATCATCCCCAGCCATTGCAGTCCCCGGGGAGGAAGCTCACGCTACGCGCCCCGATTTGGACTTGCACTCATTTACTGAGGGTGTAATATGTTAGGCTAATTCTTTGTGGAGACGGATTTAGCTGCGACTGGGGAATCTGAGCGGCACCTAAATCTGTCACTGCAAAGAATTGGCTGAATCACTGCGAAGAATTAAATGCTGATGAGCTTTCAGCACAATGGCCTCTCATTTAGGGCAATGGGAGCTGGCAATTTTCCAGGGGCTTCAGCTGTTCCAAATTGCATTCTCCAATATGCCTCATGTTCTGAAATCTCTCTTTAGCATTTGAGATGGGAGACGATCCTTTCTCTCTCTCTCCAGGCACCCCAAAAAAGCTCCAAGAGGAAGAAAAGGGAAGTCAAGGAAGGGCACTTAAACACAATCATCCCTCCCCCACTCCCCAAAAAGAGATTTAGATGCCAGGCATTGTGAGCACGGCTGAAGATTACTCCCCTCCTCCCCCTAGCAGTTGGCAAAAACATAAAGAGGTTATGAATACTATGTTAGCCCTCCATCACTGCTATACATTCACACATTCCTCTGTCTCCAGGGAATTAACATCTTTTTATTAGATACACCTAGCTCAGGGGGGGTCAAACTCAAGGCCCACAGGCTGGATCTGGCCCACGGGATGCTTAAATCTGACCTGCAGGGCAGACCTAAAATCAGCAAAGGACCGGCTCACGGTGCCTCTGGCAGCCAAAACGAGGCACAGGGGTGCTGCGTGTTTCCCCCGTGCCCCATTTTTGCCTGAACGGCCTCCTGCAGTAGTCTGCCAGCCAAAATGGGGCACGAGGGGGAGACATGAAGCCCCCCCCCCACGTCCCATTTTGGCCAGCAGGGTGCTGAAGGAGGCCATCCAGGCCCAAAAAGGGGCATGGAGGATCGCATGAGCCCCCCCGCCCGCCCCCCCCGTGCCCTGTTTTGGCCAGCAGGATGCTGCAAGAGGCGTCTGTCCCGTGTTCACCCTCTCCCGGCTGGCGTGCGGAGAACTACAATGCTGATCCTTGAAGAAATCCAGTTTGGCACCCCTGACCTAGCCCATCTGGAGGACCCAACTGTTCCCAGAATGGAAGAAAACAAGCAGAATAAGCTACTGGCAGAAGAATCAGTTTGACATAGTGGTTAAAAGCACCGGGCTAGAAACTGGGTGACTGTGAGTTCTAGTTCCATCTTAGGCATCCAGTCAACTGGGAGGCTTTGGACCAGTCTCTTCCTTTCCACCCTAGGGAGGAGGTGACAATGGCAAACCGCTTCCGAAAATGGTGCCAAGAAAACTGAAGGGGGCTTTTCCAGGCAGTTGCCAGGAGTCAAGACCGACTTAAGATATATAGAAAAAACCTTACCAATCCAAGGAACCATCTTTTCATTCTGAGGGGGGGGGGACACCTGGGACAGTGATCTGCATTCTCAATTTCGGGGTTTTTCAAAGGGTATGGAGAGTCATGATGGTGGATGGGATGGTGTGGTGAAAGCTCTGTTTTTTATATACATATAAAAACCAATTGGAGCTTCAATTTCAGGATTGTGGTCACCATCCTGTCACTTTTGACCATACCCTGTGGATGCCCAACCTCCTTGACTACCAATTTTTCCCTATCCCCAAACACTCCAGATCATCAACTCTTGGGCAACGCAACCACATCATTCATAGAATTGCAGGCTCTGAGCCAGCACACTAAAAACTTCCTTGAAGCTTCAGTGTTGCCCCACTGGAGCTAAGGGAAAGGGAGGGGGGATTAGAGATAGAGGGGTTTGTGTAGACAAAATAAAATATTTTCCCTTGAGACCCAAGGACCTTCTAACACCTGAACTGTGGAAGGAGGAGGTGTTGTAGCTGCCAGCGGAGCTGGTGGCAGACTCAGACAGTGAAGAGATTGGGGAGGAACATGGGCCAGTCCTGGCATCTGAGGAAGGCTCTAATGAGGGCTCTGTGTCGGAGGGAGAGAGGGGGTCAGGGCCATCTGACAATTATCAGCTGCCTTTGGAGTCGGAGATCCGTGGGGCAAAAGAACAGCTGGAGCCTGTTCTCGGTGTGTGCGTGCGCAGAGCTGCCAGGAGAAGGGAACAGCTAAGGAACTTGGGTGAACATTGAGGTCACATTGCAACCATCGTAAATGAATGCCAGCTGCCAAGAATCCTAATTTTGATCTCTGCAACAGTTGTTAAATGTGAAAAAGTTACAAGTTACTTTTTTCCCTGCTGTCATAACTTCAAATGGTCACTAAATGAACAATTGTAAGTCGAGGACTACCTGTACAGGAAATCCTTGACTTACAACCACAACTGAGCCCAACATTCCTGTTTCTAAGTGAGAAATTTGTTAAGTGAGTTTTGTCCCATTTTATGACTTTGCTTGCCGCATTTGTTAAGTGAATCACTGCAGTGGTAGTAAGACAGATAAGTGCGTCTAGTTTCCTCACCGATTTTGCTTGTCAGGAGGTGGCAAAAAGGGGATCACATGATACCGGGACACGACAGCTGTCATAATCGTGAGTCAAGCATTCAAATATAAATCATGTAACCAGAGGAAGGCTGAAATGGTCAATGGTCATGAGCCACTTTTTCCGGTGGCGTTGTAACTTCGGTCACTAAATGAACAGTTGTAAGCCGAGGACTACCTGTACTCAAAAACTGCCTATGCGACTTACGTGTCATCCGTGTCAATGGGTTCCCCTCGAGCAGCCCCTCCCTGGATCGACTCCATGGCGGTGGAATACAGAGCCTTCTGCCCCACGGGGCGTTTCTCATCCGACATGCTCTGGGCACCGTCAACCTGTCGTTCCCGTTCCAGCTGGTCTATGTTGTGCACCCCAAGGAGCAGGCTATAGTCCATGATTTTGAAACTCTCCAGCACCTGGAGGTTTTGGGAGGGAAAGGAGAAACTGCCGTAAACGCCAAGGAGGGGCCAACACTTGCTAGGTGAAAAAGCTCTTAGAACTTTTAAGACTTAGAATAACTTTAATTGCCACTTTGAATGGCATACATTAATCGGCATACATTAAAATGAAATTGCATGGGTACAATATAAGGAAATGAGATGTGAATTGTAAACAGCAATTTGGAAAGAAGGATAGAAAACTTTGTTATTAAATATTATGGATGTTTAGCTAGAATAGGACATAAGGATTTAGTGTCATCGGAGGATTTTAGAAACAGTAAATGAAATGCCAGTATGTGGTTATGTATTAAACCTTGGTATATTTTATGATGAAGGACATTTGAACAACTATACTCAAATGAAAATGGAGGTATAATGATGGTAATATGTATAAATATTTGAGTTAAAATACTTGAGTTAATATAAATTATGCTTGATGACTGTGGAAGAGATGCACAAAGGTTTTTTGTAACCAACTGATACACTTTCTACAGTATGTAAAAAAGAAAGATTTTATGTGTTGTGTTTGTTTTGGAAAAAAAACTTTTAAAAAAATGAAATTGCATGGTACACTGCTCTCAAAGGGTCACTACTACATAAATATAAATAATACGTGTGTGTGTGTGTGTGTGTGTGTGTGTGAAGGGAAGCAATATGCTCGCGCCCACATTTGGGCATACGAAAATACACTTAATCATTCCCCTCGCTCAGCTGATAAGGGAGGAGAGCTTGTGGCTTAGAGGTTAACATAACT